CTGCTGAACTGATGCCAAGACTTTCACTAGTCAGATTTTCACAGTCAGATTTTTCATAGACTTTCATTAGCAAACAGAAGACTTTCTATTTAGAGCAGAACTGGTGAAAAGCAGAAATAATAAGAAACCACTCAAATCAAAAAACAAAGCTCCAATACAACTTCATGGTAATTATGATTATTTGATCCCTGCATAGCCCTATTCTTTGATCTGAACTTCTTTATAAATTTATTTCAAGACAACTTGCACACTGTTATTTCTCAGGCAAACATAGGAGAAAATAGAAAAACGGGGTTTGAGATGTACGTATTAATACTTTCACTTTCTAAAACCCTGAGTGAAATTCTTTTTTGGGAAAAAGTGCTATTGGATTTACATATGAATGGATCTGCGCAGCCAAAAGTTTCTGGCTGGAATATGGAGTTTGCTGGACTAAGGACAGAAGTCTTTTTGGCTTAAATGAGGTGAGGGTTTTACCCTTGACATATACAAGATTTTATGAAGGAAACTTTTGATTTCAAGATTTCTTATCTGGATAAGAAGATTATTTAACTGATCTGACCTGGTGTTACAACTAAGAAAATGATCCAACTGGGTCCTGTGAATAAGTTATGCTGCAAACCCTGCATGTCCAGTAAACTCTCCAAAAAGCTGTATTTCCCCAGCAGGTTTCCTTTCATTGCCTATTGCATGGAACACACCTCTCTGACATAACCAATGCATTTATTTAACTTTTGTTTTATATTTTATCTTCCAATTTATTTTGGTTAGAGGTAGAATTATTCTGTTAAAAAATGACCTGATCCTAGACGTAGTTTATTTAAATTTCAAAATGAAAAGCTTACTAAGAACAGATAAGATTGATTGCTCTTTCCATCTTAGCATAATTGTATTTCAGGTGAACATCAATTTACTTTAAAGGACACTTCTAAGTAGCAGGCTGCATCATACATAATTCATCAATCACAGCTGCCTGCAACATGATTTACTCAAGCAGATTTCAATGGAAAAGAGGGAGTTGCATTGTTTCTTATGCTTAGGCTTGTTTGTTTTTAAATAGTTTATGAAACACTCATTTGCACTGAATTATTGCTGAAAAGAGTTCATCCTTGGTAATCAGCATGTTGAATTTCTTTCTCTTCGTACAGAAATGTTACCTCTTTAAATTTCTTTTAAAAGGCAGAATGAGTTTTCAAAACATTGTTAAGGTAGAGACCACTCCATGCTTATCAAAGGTAAAAATAAAGCTCAAGGACTTTGCTAGGGAGGAAGGAAAGGCAACAATATTTATCTGAAAAGCATTACTAGTCTTAGGGCTGTGTATTTTCCAGCTGGCTTGACATCATTTATTATTTGTTATACCAGCACGCAAATGTAATTGAAGAGAAGTAGCTCTTTCCTCAGCTAACCCTTCACACAGTTGTCACATGGATAAAACCGCGTGCCAGTAAAGTGCAATTGCTTGATACACCAAGAAATATAAATGAAACTGGGGGCACCACAATGTGTGTTACACTACTCAGCGTCTTCCCTCAAATTCAGCTTCAGGGACATGCTGGTGCCTCAGATGGTCCTGAAGTAAAAAAACATTTCCACAAAAAGATGCAAATATAGTTTAAAAAGAAAAAAAGAGAGAGAGCGAAAATGCTAGAAATGCACACAAAGACAGAAATGCTTTTACTTACTTGTAAGCCCATTTGAAACACAGAGTGACCCATAAAGTTAGCCAACATTCGAATTAGAGCTGCACCCTGTGGGAAATAATAGAGAAAAAAAGAAGTTACCGTTTTGCATGTCAATAGTAGACAATAATAACAATCTGAAGCAGGCGTTTCCATCCAACACTATCATCTTGGAAACTTGAATTAATATAATCTTTATTTGTGCTGGAATGAAAAAGAGAGAGAGAAGATAACACAAATGCTTACAAGGAAAAGTGAGGCAGTAGACCAATATTGTTAATATCCTGCCCCACATACTGAATAAGGCGCAGGTCATAAAACACACTCTCTCCACTGCTGGAGCGCCGATGCGTCAGCTCCACAGCTGGTTGCCCCTAGCCCTTCTGTGCACTCAGCAGTACTGCACAGTTTTAAATGAGGGCAAAAAATAACATCCATGTTAAGTTCTACCACAGTGATTATTCATAATATTTTTACCTCCATTACACTATTGTGAATCAGGATTTAGTGATAGTACTTGCCTTTGTAAAAGCCTTCCAGATGTGATGATCTAGAAGTGGATCATTTTCATAAGAATTTTATAAGATGTGGATACACATATTTGACTTACTAATAGTGAGCTTATTACCCAGACTGTCATGCAAAGAGGTAAGTATTTGTATAACATTCTTTCTCTCCTTATACCAGTTCTTATCCCTTTGCCCCTTCAGGCAAAGGAGATCTAAAAAATTTCTTTTGTTTCACTGGTGATTCTAATTCTCAGTACTTACACCAAGAAACAGATAGATACTTGCCAGAGTAGCTTTCTTTAAGGCATCCCTTTTGTGTTTTCTTACTCCCTCTCAGAACCACAATTGCTCTGTATTTTCCTCTTGCACAAGTGCTCTATTTCAAGCAGAAATATCTTTGCAGATCTGATTTGATGATTTAGCTATAATATCCCACTTTGCAATCCAATTTCAAGACACCCGGCCTTCCAATTCCCATTAATCAAATGCTATACTCAGTACTGATGACTGCACGAGGGGGAGGACACTTTTGATTTAAAGTTAGTCAATCAAAGGCCATAAGAAAACATGATGCTAGAACTCAACAACCTCAGCTACAGGTGTAGGTTCAGGAATTAGGCTAATGCTCAATTTAGAAAATAAAAAAAAAAAAAAGAAACATTTCACAGATTCAAAAATTTACAGGTTCTAAAGCCGAAAGGACTATTACAACAATATAATCTGACTTCCTGCATTAATAGAGGTCAAACAGTAATTTAGGCAAAAATCCTATTGCTTCTCTTTACACAACAGCATTTATTTTAGGAAGATTCAAGAAAAGGAAAATGTTTCACAGTGCTACATAACTTGTCACAACTAATATTTACTCTCACAGTGAAAATGTGCACCTTTTTACTAATTTGAATTTCTCTAGCTTCAGCTTTCAAAACAAGATTTTCTGTCTTTTCCTGCTAGATTCAAGTTCAAAATAGTTTTGGAATTCAACAGTTGTCCAATTTTTAGACCGTTCAATACATGTTCCACTCATTTTTTGGTATAATGCCTATTTTTGAAGTACTGAAGGAGTTATCTGTAATAACCAACATTTGAAATAATGATACGAATTAAAAAGATTAGTAAATTATTAGTAAATCTTAAGAAACACAAGGTCTTCAAATAGGCAGCAACAACAAATAATACATAGTTACTAAAGTAACTGAAGAAAGAAAAGAAAAAATTAATTCAGGAGATGTTTGCAATTGCTTATAAAAATTGAACAGTGGATAAACCAAAAGATGGTGTTTGTGTTATTAACTCTATGCTACGCTTTTATGGTGGTACCTAATCTTACTGTGAGATCAATCATGTCTGGAACACACAGTGGCATAGAAAATAATCCCTATTGAAACAGATTATTACCTGAACAGACAAGACCATAGGTCAGGAAGCATTATTACCCTTATTTTACCAGAGGAACAGAATGAGTAAAGTTCTCAGAGATGTTTACGCAGATAAAGAGCCGATAAATCTGTCTAAGCAGATAAACAGCAGATAAAAAAAAAAAAACTAAGAAATACATAAATCTTATCTATCCGATAAGTAACTTGGGCAGGGCAAGTCCAGGTCTTTCATTGCTTTTTATTTTCTTTGGTGTGTAAGGGCTGTCCATAGTTCCATCCAATGTAGCTAAATGTTACCTGTGAGGGATTTTATAATTTTTTTTTTAACTTGTGTCTGGCATTTCTTGGTCTCTGTGAAATTTAAACTGTGAGAAAGAAATAAGGGGACCCTGGAATACTAACAAGTGACTAGGAAAAGGCAATGAAAGACTGAATAGGAGATCCAAGGCACAAAGGTAGAACTACTCTCTCAGGATCCATCCATTTTCACAGCTGCTTTAGAAGTACTTTCTATCAATTATTTATCTTCAGGAAATCCAGAAGACCTACTTACAGCTTCCAGAACAAGAATATGCTTGTCCCAGCTCTGCCACCTTCCCCACACAGGGAAGGCAAATGCCTTCTTGACTTATTTGCTGAAGGATAGTATAGGAAAGGAGAGAGAAGGAAAGGAAAGGGATTCTGAAGAAAAAGTGGAAAACAGAAAACCAGAGAATCTCGAGGGGAAAAAACTGTCTTGGGGAGAAAGGAGGAGAAATGGGAGCAAATGCAGCCCTTGGCATGAAGGGAAAAGAAATGGGAGGAAGAAAAGGGAGGAAACCACTTATTTCAACATTTCTTGCACTCTGAAAGCAGACAGAACAGAGAACAGCGATACATTCATAAGAAGAGCAGAAACAATCAATAAATTCCCCGCTCTGGGAAGGAAAGGGAAAGGCAGCAAACACTGGCACTCTGACTGGAGATGACGAGAAACGGGTTTGCAGGGAGAAGGATTAAAAAGCAAGAGATATGCAGAGTAACTGGCATAAGGAAGCGGGGCTAACTGAAAAGAGAAGCTTGGAGGATGACCTTAACCAGAGGGTCCTGGGAGATAAAGAAGGTATGTGCAGTTAGGTTCAGAAGCAATGGAACACATGACCTTGGGGTCATCTGAATGGCCCAATGTGCTAGCATTTTCACTGCTTATCTGCCTACCAAGCAGTGAACTAGATGGAGTCCAGAGGACCTACGCTTCCATACCTTCTGAAAGCTTCTCTGACATAGACGTAAACCTACAGAAAAATCCTAAATCACAACAAAACTGTCCTGCTGCAGAGGATGCTCTTTGGAACCTGTCACCATCGTTCCTTGAACGTCCTGACACACAACTGATCTGCTCCCCACTTGACTCTCAGGGCCACTTCTGCTCTGCCAACATTTGTCCAACCAAGGAATGACGTATGGAGTCTTGAGAAGTGAACCTGGCTCTCTTACAGGGCAGAATGGCCATTTATTGATGATTTAAGTGCTTTCCTCCAGGCAGTGGATGACTCAGTACCTTGTCAAGAGGTAAAACACATTGGTTTAACAGGTCTAGTGGAAAGCAATTCTTTCCTATTCAAAAAACGTACCTATGTTCCTGCCAGCATAAAATCTGACTCACCTTAAGCCATTGTACCCCATCTTAATAAAAGTCTGTTCAGAGAAATACACTGGATATTCAGTCAATGATTAATGGCACTACTCAGCTCTGGTGAAGCACTGTTCATTAGCAGATCTCATGAGTGCTTCTTAAGATATTGATACCAATATCCTGCAAAATAAAGGCAAACTGAGGCACAACATAGTGAAATCATTTGCCGAAGATCACCCAGCATGCTCCTCATATAATCTATGACACAGTCAAAGCTTCCTCAGCCTCAGCAGTGTTACAGGAAACGAAGGTAGAACATGTCAGCTACTCCATGGAAATTAACTGCACAGACAGACCTTTTCTGCAAAGTGCTCCTGGGAAAAAGTATGCTCATGGGCAATTATCCACTGGTTGAAGTGCTGTAAGTTTATGATCTTTCTTAAGAAACTGGTTTGCATGCTCACACCATGGTAAAGACCATCCATAATTAAAAATAGGAGCAAAATTCCTTTATATGTGAGCTGAAACTTGTCTTCAAAATCTACAAAATGCAGAGTCAATGCTCAGGCATTCAGTCTAATTCTCTCCGTGCCAACATAAAATAACATGATTGCAACCTTGAGCTCAGATGACATGAAACTAACTTTTAAAGACTCTCTCCTACATTTTTTGAACCTGTGGCATCACTACAGGTCACAATTACTGTAAGTTAATTTAATTCTCTGACTTATTAAATGATCTAATTTTATTATATCTGATTTCTTAAACTAATTGTTTCACTTGCAACTTGCATCCTGTAATCATTTCTTATACAAAAGAAAGTACCAAATGGAATTTTCTTTAACAGGAAAAAAAAGTAAGTCTTATGTAGGAACCCACAAAAATATGACTATTGCATACAACACAGTACTGTTATACAGCCGCACAGGAGGGGATACATCTGACTAAATGCAGGTATCTACCTGTAGCATTTGTGTCTACAATTACTTCAGTTGTTTAGACTTCTTTTACAGTCAATGGACAGCACCAGTCACTTCTGGGTGCACTTTATCTCACCTTAAAGTAGACCTCCAAACAGATCGGGAGAATTGTACCTTAAAAGCATCCATCTCTTGTAATTCACTCCAAAAGCAGCCTTGGGTGACTAGCTCTTATGTACATATCTGCACTGCAGACATCTAAAGTGAGGTGAGATGAATTCAACTGCATTGTCCAAAAAAGCCATACAGAGACTGATTCCCCACTCTGTTACAAAAGTTCTGTACTAGTAAGTAGTTCGCAAGAATTTCTGTATTGTGGAGCTATAAAACTGGTGTGACACTATCCTTTTCTATATATACAGTCATGTAACATATATCATATCTCGGTTTATTCTACATTGTCACACTTTCATATAAGAAAACCAGCAAAGGTAGGTATTCAAGAGAGGGCCCTGAAGAGAGAGCAGTGTGCTTGCTAGCTGAAGGTCGATGTTCTGTACCAAGCAGATAGCAAAGAAAAGCACTTAAAATAATTAACTGGTGAAGCAGTTGCAGTGAAGGGAACAATGTAAAAATTAGTAAACCA